GTGGTGAACTGCCCTCAGCATGGCGCAGCAGCCTGCTACTTCTGCCCATCTGGCGTCACCTGGGGGTGGACATGTTGCGGATGCTGGAGTCAGCCAGCATCCAACGCGAACTCACGGCCAATCTGACCCCCCAGCTGCATATCGGCGTAAGCTCCTCCTACCGCCATGCAGGCATCATCATCCTCATCATCATCAATAACTTCGGTCTTCTTTTGCCTTGTAGGGTATTGATGTGGGTGTCTACAACGATCTCTCCGCCATTTACGTCCTCACCGACTGCAAGTGGCTTGCCCTCGGTGCTTGCCTGCTCAGCATCGTTCTGCTCATCATCACTGACGGCAGTGTGATTATGTTGCTCACCACTCTGTTCGCCATCCTCTGGTCGCTAACCGTGGCCTACGCAATCTACTCACGCGTTCTGGCTATTCCAACCTTCCCGCTGATCAATGTGATGGCCATTGTCCTGCTCCTTGGCTTGGGTGCTGACGATGTGCTCGTCTTCTATGAGGTACTTGCAGTGCATTTCTTCTCTCTGTGTAAATTACTTCAAGAGTATGTGTCCGCTAAACAGGTTGCATGGTAGACGCTCATGACAGGCGTATCAGGATTGCGCTCCCATTGTAAAGGCCGATCCTGGGGAGAGGGAGATCGTTGGTGACATGTCTAGATGTAGACGCAAGTCACACTAGCAACCCATGGCACTCCCACTCCACGGGATCTAATGTAGAAGTGGCGGCTCCGGCCGCGCCCGCAACCCGCGCCCAATCCCGCCTCCGCTTTTCTCAACTCTGCCTTGCTACCGAACCCACGCACGTGGGGAGAAAGAGAGTAGGGTGTCTGAGACAAAAGTCTAATATCCCTTATAAATAATCCACGCGCATATCACCGTCGCTGCACTTCCATCCTGTTGAGCACACTATGGACCTTTTCAGATGCGACGGTTGAACGATACTCCATAAGTCAGCACACTTACTCTGACAGGTCCCATAGTTCAGTTTTTGGGGCTAAACCCACCATATGCTTCGGATCAGCGGGATTCCCGGTCGAATGCTCCATTCAGATTCGC